TCTACTGAATACCATGTTTCCATGCTCCAGGACTCTGCAGTTGATCTTTAGAAAAAGGATTTCTATATGCAAAATGTAAATTTTAAATTTTAAGTGGGACCTGAAAGTCTTAAAGATTTAAAATCTCTTGAGTGTCTCTATTCCTGTGAATGAGCATTTTTATTCAATGAAGGAGGAAGACAGGAGAGGAGAGTTTTCTCTTGGGTTTCCAGCCCAAAAATGTTTAAGTTTTTTGCCATGTAGGCCCCTCCAAACTAGAATCAGAGTGGCAGGTGCTTTAAGAGGTGCATTTTGCACAAAAAAGCAGTGAGATTCAGGCTGTTAAAGACCTAACACCCAAACCAAGAAATGTGAGTCCTACGTGCAAAAAGGGCAGTGTGTGTATTTTAAGTTGGCTGGAGTGTGGAGCTCACTCTGATGCTGGGGTTTTCTTACTGATGGGGTTAACTTGTACCTGGGAGCTGTTGAAAGGAGTTTAATAAAATATGACTTTTTCTGGGACAATAAAAAGTGTATGATGCCTAGAAAAAGGAAAGTAGAAAGACTTGATATCACTGATATGCTTTAAGGCAGAGAAAGATGCTACTTAAAGAAAATAACAGACAGGGGATATTGAGGATGAGCTAAATTGCCACCTGGATTTGTAAAATCAATCTTGGCAACCTCGATAAAAATAAAATCACTAATGTGTCTCCAGCATGTTCTATTTACTCTTTGGCCTTTATTGTTTCTAAAAACATGCCAGCATCTTGTATCATGGGAAATATTTATCTGCCCTTGTGACTACTTCTTGGTTTGAAGGATTTCCTCAGTCATTTCTGGGATTTGTCTGGATATTCTGTTTAGACATATTCAATGGCTGTGGCCATCCTGGGGGTCAGAGGCCACCAGCTATTTACTACTCCTTTCTCAGGTAGAGGACTAGATTGTCACACTGCCACACCACGTGGACTTCTCTTACATCTTCTCCAAATCCTCCCATTCCCTCACCACAGTCATTTGCAATCCCCGAAGGGCTGGTATTTATGACCATGCTTGATTTCCTGGGTCATCCTTAATGGCTCCCTTTCTTCAGATCTATTGGGGTCTTGGTGGGATAACTTATTTTCAGGTGTTATAGCCTTTAAGAAGGTATCCCAGGAAATGAATGGAGAGGCACTTTCATTTTCTGCTATGCAAAGCCTAGGGAAAACTGCCTCAAAACTCCACCTTCTGATGAAAAACACTGCTGGAAACTGGATCAGTCATGTTTTAAATTGGGTAGTCTCTTTTTTCACTGGACACTCTAAGAACAATACTTCTCAGAGCACAGATGTTACTATAAAAAAAATTCTGTGATCAAATAAGTCTGGGAAATGTTGGATTAAATAACACTGTAGAGCTCTCTTTCTTATGTGACTTTTCAGATCCTTTGATCTGCTAATTGCACAAAGACGCTCCAAGATAGAGTTATAATGTGGAGCACTTTCCCAAAATTCTCTGCCCACCAAACCTTTGTTTCAAGACTTTCCTCATGGAACTAATGGTCTAAAAGTCACTTTGGAAAATGCCATTGTAGACTTATAATACTAGATTCAGGTTCTGTCAAAGAGAAAGCAAAATCATAGTGAAGGATAAAGGGACAGGGAAGAAATGGAAAAAGAATATAGTCCAGTAAGTACCTGGCAATACCTAAATTTAATTTCCTAAGGAAAAGTGAGTTTTTCTGTAAAACTGGCAAAGTGGCTGATTTTTCATATTTCTTCATTTTTATGTGTGCTAATCTCTTAATAAAACTCAAGAGGAAATATCAATATTTTGTTACCCCTCTTCCAGAAAGACATTATTGGTCAACCCTTAGGGCCACAGGAAGGCCAGAGCTAGAAGATCCATAGAGAGGGAATTAGGAATCCCTGGAAGACATCTCTCCCTTTTAAGTCAGTTAAGCTAACATAGGTATATTATGAACATTTAGTTTAAATCCCATTCAAATTAACACATTATTAAGACTTATGTTGTCACATACTGATATAAATCTGTCATATTCTCTTAAGAAATAGCTCTACCCCATATGTATTAATATATGTGGTTTACACAATCATGTTTGCAACAAATTAAAAGGACTTCCCAGTCTTTGATAAGTGTTACATTCTGGGACTTAGATTTATAACAGTGTCTATATTGATACACGAATTGTTGATGACTAAATCTCAAATCTACAGTACTGCGGAGGGACACCTAGTCAAAAAGGGCATCCAACCCAAGAGATGTTGCTATCTCCATCACTGGAGCCAACCTAATCTCATACTGGGGTTCCTTCCTTAACTGTCCTTCTCTAATCAAGAGTACAGCAAGGATGCCTTACAGCCTTGCTGACTCCAATTTAAAATCACAGAATTATCTTTCGAAGTGAACCCCACTGCAGAGTAAGTTCCTAAGTCATCGTCCCTAATGAAGTTCTAACTACCTTTTATCTGTCTTGTTCTGATTGACATGGCCCAGAAAAGAACTGAACAAGACACCAGATGACCCAGCTTCTTGTCCCAGGACTAGACAGCAAATGCCCTGAAGGCAGTTCTGTCTGTTCTCGCGTGTTCTTGCCCAAGACTCGCATAGTGGCTGGGATGGAATATGTGCTCTAAGTACCAGCTGAATGAGCAAATAACTAGCATCGAGATTCCAGTCAGTGCATCCCCGTCCCAGGGTCTGGAGTTCTCTTCTGCAGAAGGGGATGGGGCTACCTTTCTCTGTGTCCGTGGGTGGCTTAGAGCGTTCACTGATTTGCAGGATGTGAAAGTGGAAGACCATCACCATCCTCTTAACAGCAGCAATGAGAAAGGTGTATCAAAGGTCCCAACAACATGCCTTAGCCAGACACACTTCAAGGAATGCTAATGCTTCTGGGAAGAGCACCACCCTGAGCAATTATTTCTGCCCCGTGACCACCTGTAGTGTCAGTGGACAAATATCAGAGGGTCAACCAAATTGTCAAAACACTCTAGTCTGTGATTACAGATCTCTGGAAAAGCAGCAGGAGACTAACTTTTATAAGAAATATCATTCTAGCAAAAACACAACAGACATACAAGATAATGACATAAAATCAATCTCTCTTTCCACTTTCCAGATCTCCAAATCAAGAGCACATTTTGAGAGCTAAAAACATGAACTGGTGCCTTTCTGCACTTGGCTTCGGAAATCTAGATGTCCTGTGTGAACTCCTTCCTCGAATAAATTTGATCTGGTGATCCATTTCCAGCAGGACATGTTGGTATATGTGTCTCTGTGATGAGACAAGCCAGTGTGTTATCTCAACAGGTCCTTGTGAGACCCACTTGCCTGATTGGTAACAAATTCTTTCCGCCCTTACAGTGTTCTCTGCTCCTGTCTTTCAGGGATGGGGGTGGGGGCCAGGGTGGCCTTCGAGCATGTGTGGTTCAGAGGAATAGCCAAAGTTGCATGTGCAGGCCTCCCACCGATAAAACCTCGCACTCACCCTTCATGGGAGAATGCCAAGGAGCAAAAGGCAGTGTGCCAAAGGACAGGGGCCAAGAATGAGAGTGAAGAGATTTAGTTAGCAGGATGCCAGGTGTACTGGGGTGAGTGGGTGTGGGGAGGTGGCAGTGGTGATGAGGGATGAGAATTGAAACAATAAAACCAAACCAAAACAAAAACACATACAAATATACAAGATAATGACATAAAATCAATATCTCTGCTTTCCAGATCTCCAAATCAAGAGCACATTTTGAGAACTAAAAACACGAACTGGTGCCTTTCTGCACTTGGCTCCAGAAATCTAGATGTCCCATGTGAAGAATACCTTAGGCAGTGTTGGGGTCTCTGAGGGCAGACTCTGCCGGGTACAAGGGTCAGGCCCATCTTGAGGGCTGGGGAGCCTCCTGGTCCTGGCTGCCTCACTGCACAGCTCAGGGAGGCCTTTTAATGTTCTGTTCTACATAAATAGCTCCCCCTGGAGTTGTACTCCTGGCGAAACATCTCGGAGACTTTTAATCTTAACTTCTCCTTGGGGATGCTAGTGACAGGAGGTGAAGAGGAAACACAGCCACCTGAAAAGTTTTAGCAGCATAATAAGCTCCTCCTCCCCCAGCAAACAATTAAGCCCCCTCTTCACACGGGTAATTCCAACAAGCCCTCTCTCTCCCATATCCAAAGGCGTTCACAGGTATTCAGATGGTTCTTTAACCTCCTGCCCCACCCCTACTGAAATGCGTTGTATAAGTTACACTAGGATGACCAAAAAATAAAATAAAATATAATAAAATAAAATAAAAATAAGGAGGAGGGCTTAGTACAATAAAATAAAAAATATTGCTCATATTGACTATATTATCCTGGTAGTTTACATTTAATTTCCTAATTTCCATAAAATTCACCTCCAAGAGTTTTAATAATAAACACTGTAAATAGTTTTTGCATTTGGTGGGTGAATGCGAATGTCCTTGAAAACCACAGGCGGTTTTTGTTTTTGCCAATCCATCTTTTCACTTGCTTTACTTAGTCAAAGGAGAAGATAGAGTCCAAATCAAATAAACCAGATTCCTCGACTTCACTGGCTGAAATGCCAGCGAAACCAATTTCTTTTCTTGTTGTTTTACCCCACCTTTAATTTGCATCACTAAGGAATTTTCTATGAACGTGCTCAGCAAACTCAAGTCTTCTCTGATTGCCAAGCTCATGGAAACAAAGTGCTTTCTCTTAGAACTCTGACAGAGACATTCCAAAGTAACCCAGCAATAGACTACATATCTATGAAAGAAGAAAGGAGGGGAGGAAAGAAAAGGCATAGCATAAACAAGAAAAGACAAAACCTTAAAGAGGAAGGAGAAAGGAAAACATTTAGATTCCTTGAGTGATGGAAATAAATACCAAAGCTATTAGTTTCAGTTCAAAGAATGTATCACTTTATGCTGTTTATTATTTCTTGAGGATTATTTATTTTATCTTAAAATATCCAAAGGGTAAAAGGGGTCCTGAAGGTAAGCGGCAATGAAACTGACCTGGTCCGGAGAAGGCCTGTGATTGGGATGTTGTGACCTCCCGGGAGATCGATGGTGGTGGTGGTGGTGGTGGTGGTGGTAATGGTGATGGTCTTCATCGTAGTTGTCTGCCATCAGCTTCATTCTGTTCTGGGTCTGTGTGGAACAAAAACCAGGGAAAATTCCATCAGGAGCTAGAAGACTGGCCAAAGAGATTCAGGGCATAATTATGGTACCTACAGGGCTCCCTTTGTTCCTAATCCAGACGTTTTCACTTTTTGTCAAAATGAAACTTAATTTAAAAAGCACCATGCCATTAGTTTTGGTGAAAGAAACTTTGTCACATCCTTGAGGCTACTATGTTACATCTGTAGATGTCAATGTACTTCCCCCTTGTTATTTAAAAAGTAAAAAATGGACATATCCTAAGGTGCTTTGTTTTACACTATCAAGCCATCACAGAGATCCAGAGTAAGCTTGCAATCACAGAGTGCCAACAATCACATCCTATACTCTAAAGCAAGCCAGAGAAGGACGCCCGGGATGAAAATATGTGAAAGGGCTGCATGGAGACACAGAACTACAAACAATGATCTCACAAGACAAGGCAGAGAAATCCACTCAAAAGCTGCCAAATGCAAAATGACTGATGGACATGGTTTATTGCTATGATGACTTCTTAGGAAAGGGCTCTCTATGGACACTTTGTTATTGTTCCTTGAAAGAATTGAGCAAAAGGTGCAAAGTTGATGGAAAAAGAGCTGACCACTCTAATTTACACTCCATGACGTTTGTCACATGAGGCAACTGGGTGTCATAGTTAAACCCCCAGGGCCACAGAATTGCACTGTTTTATTATGCAGGGTAAGAAACGACTGGTGATGAATTGACCTAACAGGGTCACAGAGTCTGGAAAAATGCCTAAAGACCATGGGAAAAAAAAGATATAATTAACTAATTCAGAAAGCCAGGAAATGCAGATTTGGGGATAGGACTGCTTGGACTCAAGTCCTGCTCCACTTCTTTGCTGGTTATGTGGCCTTAACTGCTGATAAAGCTTGATTTCCTTAACTCTAAAATGGGAGTAATAGTACTTCCCTAAGATTTTTGTGAGGAGCAAATGAGCTGATGGACTTCAGTATCAGTCCAGTACCTGGCACATAATAAGCTGGCAATAAAAGTCAAATGCTGTTATTACTATTATTGCTGCTATTGTTGTTGTTTGCTGTAAGAAATTTCTCCTTCTTTGTATATGCTGTTTTCTTTGCCTGTGATGCCTCCCCCTGTCCCCTTTCCCTCACTTCTAACTTCTATGTCTGGCTAACTCACAATATTTTCTCCAGGAGCCTTTTCCTGATCCCACCCTTGAGGCTGGGTGACATGTGCTTCCTGCTTACCACAGCTCTATAACCATGGATTTATCTGTCCATCTGTCCATCTGTTTGTAGACCTTGAAGCTGTTTCTACCAGCTGCCTCTCTCCAGAATTCAGCACAGGCCCTAGCAGATACAGATACGCAATACATGCTGCTGAAATGAGTGATGAGACGAATGGAGTGGCCATGACTTTGAGGGATGCTGCCATCCTAGAGATGAGAAGCATGTTTGTTCTCAGCAGGAAAAGTCACGGAGAGTTGAGGATATCTCCTGAGTTGCCATAACAATCCCACCGGTGAGTCGAGGTGACAATGAGCCATCAGTGCTCTAAGACAGCCAGAAGTCAGAGACTGGCAGAGCCTCCAACCAGTTGGAGTTTTATTATATAGTGTAAATGATGCTCTGATAAGAAAGAGAATTTTGGACCTAACATAATGCCTTCTTATAGTATTTTTCACATACAATCTAACTTATTCTCAAAACTTTCCCAAGAGGAATTATTACCATTCTCATTTGGCAGCTAGAAAAATAAGACATAGATTTCAGCCCCCAGAGTCTCTTTCTTGACACAGAATATGGAGATTTTCTGGGTCTTCCAATTCTCAATCTCAAGGATTTTTTCTTTGCCTTGCTGCTAGCTAGCAGAAAAGGCAAACAACTATACAGGTAGAAATAGCTTTCCTATAAATGCTTTGGTTCTGTTAAATTTTGGAAACACCTCACATCCCAATTCTACCTGCCAGAGGGATGTCTCATGATTTACTCACTCCATTTTAAAAAATGTGTACAATATTTGAAAGGCCCCAGAGTGGATGTAAAAAAAAAAATGCATGTATATGATAAAAACAATAAAAATAGAGGAAAAGATCCACTTAAAAATTAAATAAAAAATCCCAGGCAACCTTTGGCAGCTGATAGCATTTCCATCCTTCACTTGTCCACTTAAAGTGTCAGAAGACCCAATGGACACGTTATGCCTTATGAGAAAGAGCAGGTCAGTGGAGCTGTTGCAGACCAAGTCGTGAGATTCCCCTCGGTCAGCTAACCCTTGTAGATGAGTTTCCGAAATTCAGTGTTCACACCTAAAATCCCAGTATTGTCAGGAGCCTGTACTTTTGAACTCATGAACTAATAAATCTGGAATTGTTTCTTCTAAATAGAATTCTAAAAGCCTGAAGGGAGCTGTGAGATTTGCGATGGTCAAGAAGGAAGGGACTTGCCCAAGAATAAACGAAGGAGCCTAAATGAACAAATAGTAACTCTGCTATTGTAAACATTGTAATGTCCTTATCCTTTGGGGAAGCTCCTGTGATTTTATGAGATTACTTTCTTACAAGTGACAAGCCCGAAGTTTCCTACCTTTGAACTAAATTCCATAAAAGAATGTACAAGCTAAACAAGATGCTATATGCAGTCCTAAATGTGTCTGCTGAAATGAGGTGTTGGGGAGTAGGCATGTCATGGGATAAAGACTGTAAATGAATGATGTCATCTTTCCAATTTGGTGCTGAAATATAAATAAACCACATTGTTCATGTGAATACCAGATCTGGGGGAAATGTACACAGAGCAATTGTGAGCGGAAGAGGCTTTGATTAGTCTGGGCTGGAAGAGAAGAGTGTGAAACAGAGATGAAAAATGAGAGCTTGGTCTGATACTCTAGACCGTTTTTATTTATCTTGCTTGTAACATATCCCCTAAACTGTGACCGATTTCTTACAGGCTGGTTGCTAGTGTTCTCTCCTATAAAATAGTTTGACCAACCTCACTCCTTTAATTGTCAAATTGAAAATGGATCTCTTTTCATCTTGTTTTTAAAAATCTGAACTACTTATCCTCATCCCCACCCAATTATATTGGTTTCCTAACAGACAAAGAATGGTCTAGAAGGATAGGAAGCCACGAATAACACTCCCTAATGGTCAATGAAAGAAAAACTGCAGAAAGTTATAACAAGGATTGGAACAAGGACACTATTTGTTCACATAACTCCAGACACGTTTACCAGGTGATCCCATGTGTAATGACTCGTATCCCTGTAGCCATCAGGTCTGCGAGGTGCCCACCACAAAGCCTTCAACTCCAAATCTTCTGGGCAGTCATAACTGAAAACCCAGGAAAACTAATATCGAGTTGGAGAAGGACGGCTTTCCACAGCACCGCACTTGGGAAGTTGGGGACTCATTTAGCAATTCACCGAAGCCCAATTTTTTTCCTTTGCAGTGTCTACCAAACTGCTGGCTTGACACTTTTGCCTTTGGCTAACCGTGCTATATTCTTTTTACTATATTATGTCATGACCGTGGAGACAAATCTAACTGGATTTCATTTTCCACTTCCTCTTTCTTCCAGGTGCCGCCTTGTTCTTCCAGGGCCACAGTCTCCTAACAGCTCCCCTGCCTGCCGCACTCTTGCCTCCCACTGAACACACTCCGTGGCCAGAGCGACATCAGACTCCAGTTACTCCCTGGATCCAGGTTCTTCAGAGGCTGCTCACTGCCCTCAGGAGAAGAGCTGGCTCCTCCACACACTTCCAGACTTCCCTCTCATGCCCTCTCTCCCCAGCTTTTGGGACATGCTGTTCTCTGTTTCGGTCATGACCTTCATCCTTTACCCCTTAAGCTTGAGTTATACCCTGTAGTTCTCCCGGTCTTAGCTTCAACGGCACGACCTCCAGAAATGCCTTCCCTTAATCCACCTCACAAGCGATTAGTGTCCTTCCCCCACTTTCCACAGAAGAGTTCTTACCCACCCTCCGGCCCCTGCCATCACAGCACTTACCTCAATGAGTGGTAAACAGCTGCATGTCTGCTCGGCTTTCTCCACCACTGGGTTGAAAATCTCTCGAGGGAAGCACTATGTCTGGATTACCCTCTTACTCACCACCTAGTGCCGAGTCTGGTGTATGAGCGGCAAGTAAATGTGTATCAAAGAAATGCAGGAACGGAACGTACAGATGAATGGACAGGACACAGGCTACTTTGGAAAGGGAGAAATACAAGAGTCTACCTAGTGCCGAGTCTGGTGTATGAGCGGCAAGTAAATGTGTATCAAAGAAATGCAGGAACGTACAGATGAATGGACAGGACACAGGCTACTTTGGAAAGGGAGAAATACAAGAGTCTATGATGACCCCGTAGTGTATTTAACTCCTGATGTGACAGTTTAACTTTGCCTGTTGTGTATTTGTTTTTGTTTGTTGTTATTGGGAGTAGAGATAGCAGGATAAATGCACAGTTTTGGAGCATTTGGCCAAGTCAAATTGGTCTTCAAGAAATATTCTACTCCTTAGTAAACTGGACCCAGTGTAATGCTCCACCACCTCCTTGATTACTTACTTCATTAAGAATAAAGAGTATCGAGGTGTTATCAGGTTCATTTTCTTACTATCCTCTAGTCTTTGGAAGAGTGGGGGACTTTGGAAGACTTTCGCTAGTGCCAAGAACCAACCATGGAAGAAAACTGAAAGTTTATCCATTAACTAAAACCCTTGATGAACACCATCTGTGAAAAGGTGCCTGATACTCCACCTCTTTTGACATTTCTGAAGAGTTTATCCAAGGAGCTCTTGCAACAAAATGAAAATCCTTGATTGACTAATAATAGACTCAATAGCTTAATGGCAATATGTAGCTATAAAAGTGTAATATTAAACTGCCTTTAAAAATATTTTAGCAAGGTGGCAATAATGAACTATGCTTTGATCAGTCACCCAGATGAAGTTAACAATAAAACCTTCATGACTATGGTATAAATAAGAAAAAAGTATAAGATTTGTTG